CTACTGACCTCTTTGCAGAATCATCCCCTTTCCTTTTCCTGTAAGTGTAAGCTGAAGTCAAATTCTCATCACAAGACAGACATGCACTTTCAACAGACAGATTGCTAGCTACTGAAATATACTATCAAATGAAGACATTGATTACATTTTTTGCCTTTTTCAAGAGTCAATGCCTTTCTCTAACATGAAAATGTAACCTTCACAGGAGGTCAGACTAGGTGAAGGGTATTACGCTCTCTTACCTTAACTGCTAAAATAAAGCAGGAAGAAAGGGTCACTTCACTGGATGTCTAGTCTCAGCTGATAAAGGGCTTTTATGTAGTCTCTGCCTTAATATTGAGCAATGCAAAATTTTAGACAACTGATAATCAATCCCCTCAGCACACTTTCTAGAACACCATCTTCCTCAGTATGCTAGCAACCCAATGACCTATAACAGGTTTCTTCTCAGCCAGATTTCCAGAAATCATCCTGCTAGAGCCATTAGGTATGTCTGATACAGAATCAAAAGCCTGAGACAAGCAATAGCTAACAAATATTAGGCCTCTGTAACCTATATACTAGAAAGTCTTCAAAACCTTCCCCACCAAAAAAGCCTTAGAACTTCCTGCCATAAATTGCCAGTAAAAGTCTATGTTCGTCATCCTTCATGACAATGAGGGACAACACAATACAATTTTACAGTAGCAGTTTATCATTGGAACTTATGAATTACAAACCAGTTTCTATATTCACTATTTTTTCCCTAGCTCCTTTTAAAGTAATAGTAGCAATACTGCAAAGATAGTTTTGGATATCTTGTTCTAAGTCACAAAGACTTGCTCGTATCATTTCCTCTGTTACTAAAAATCTTTTAATAAATTATTCCCTTTCATGTCACCATGGCCCATTAGTACCTACATGCAAAGAAAGAATACGGCACATGAAAGCTTTCATCAGGACAAACAAACCTCAGATTGATATGAAAAATAATTTCAATGTTTATCTATCAAAATACATCATTATTTGAAATGTATCACCTGCTACTGACATCATTAAGCAGCTATTAAATTGCTAATCTTGTTGCTGCTTCTCCTTTCAATGTTTAAGGACATTATTAATCAACCTACTGTAAATCCTGAAAATAAAGCAGTCCACTTCTAGAAGCTGCTCTCTGTGTTTACAGACTTTTCTTCCTACAGAGCCTCAACCAAGTCATCATGGAGCGTACCACTTACAGAAATAACTTGGTTAGTAATTTTCTGAAGATATCTGCAGCAAAACCATACCAGAGACAGACAATTCAGCATGCACGCTTGGGGAGAAAAAAAGAGGAGAAAGGATCCTAAGGTTTATGATTACTATTCTGTCAACTACAGGTTATGGTGGAAATTAAGCACTGTCATGATCTTCAGCTTTAGACAATGAGATATATATTTAGAATAACTATATATATCCTAAATGACCACATACCAAGCGCTAAGGCAGCATGACTAGTTGTGAAATTCATCATGTCACCAAAGTTGCTACAGTTCTGTAATTCTAAGTTTTCCAACCAAAGGCTTAAAAAACAGATACTGCTTACCACCTACATTCTGTGGCTGCATTTTTAGAAGATTATTTCCCTTAGAGCTCTTCCTATGAGAAGAAGGTGCCAGTCTGGGCTTTCACTGAAATAATAATATTAGTTTAAAAGTTCGCTTTGAAAAAAAGCATATCATCCAACCTGTTACTCCCCAGAAACTTAAAAGTGAAGAGAGAATACACAAACAATTTCTTGTGCCAAACAGTGAATAATGAAGCTTTTAGTAAGACACATGCACACATTCTGGAAGCAGAAAAGCTTTCAAAAGTGTTTTTTTTAAAAAGATGCTTTGTCTTCCCTTTTAAGAGCCATAACTTAAATAATAAATGGCTGCACAGTTGTTAAATGCCAACCCTTTTCTCTCACTTTTCAATGTATGTACACATGGGCCTTCATTAAACAGATTCTGCTTAAAAAAAGACGCTTATCACTTCATACTAACTTGAAAGAACAGAGTTAATCATCTAAAGAATTTTCAAACTAGAGTAAATGACTATGGCCTATTATTTATCATAATGGGCATGTGAATAGTTCTCCAGTATGTGCTTACAGCTACATACATACAAACGTGTTTGCAGGATTGGACCACGGAGAGAACATGCTAACTGGTGAAACCAGATGTAGTAACAACAGAGACAGGTTCTAACACTGAGGGAGCCACAGCATGAATCCCCACAGCATTCAGAACCCTTTGACCCTGCCACCATGCAAAATAAATGGGAGAAATTAGAGCAGCAGTGAAAGGTTTTTATGAACTGCATCTCGTACTTTTTCAATACAAATTATTAGCACTGCACACATTTGCGATCCTAAAACCAGCAAGAGCCTTTTGGCACCATTTCAACCTTTTGTCCTCAGCGGCCTGATTTCACAGGTTCAAATGTGTCACATGTTCAATCTTGCAAAATCTACCATAGATTAGAAATGTGTCTTTTTTCAATAAAAGCCAGTGCTGTTGGACAAGGTATAAGACTTAAAAATACAATATATTCAAATAAAAACATTTTATGTATTAGGAAAAAAGCTGGAATCATATATACAAATTGATAGTACTTAGGGCTTTCCATTAATGAAACAAATTATTTTTCACACAAGAAACATTAATAGCTCTCAAGTCCCAAGGCAATTATACAATGAGTCATTTTTAGACAGAATATGTTACACAATACTGGAATTGAACAATGATAGTCTCTCAAGCAAATCAGTATTTAGATACATATTGTATGTATTTTTATGCTTTCCTGGATAGCCTAGTGAACCATTAGGAAGTTTTGACACTAAGAGGTTCTACTGGATCAAACAACACAAGTATTCTGTTAAACTAATTATTAAATGCTTAAATGTCCAATAGCAAACACAGCATTTAATTTTAACACTTGATCCCCACTGGATCAAGCCAATTACTAAAAAGAACTTTAACTAGTTATCTGCCTGCTCCTTTCCAAAAGGAGTTTCTGTAGCACCATTAGATGAGGCTCAGCGTTGAGAAAGGAACAGACCACCTGAAGCACGAAGCTTATAGTCCCGTGGCAGGGCAGACCATGGAAGAGTCCTTGACTACCAAAACCACATACCGTTCCCACTCTTCTCTCTAACCGACATTTAATTACTTGCCAAGCAGCTTTAAATTTATTTTTACTCCCTTTTTTAAAAATTCCACACCCCCCCCATGGAGAAGACTTGTGAGTAATAATTTGAAATCACAGTGCTAAGTTAAGAATACTCTTACAGACATCACATCAATTTATCATTCTAGTATACGTAAAGAAATAATATGGTAACTAGGTTGTGGAAAACAAAGGATATTTACACTACTTCACGAAATGAACTAGCTTTCACATGATCAACAGAACAAGAAAATGTGAAATCGGTGTTGATACATGATTGCAAAAATAAAATCCTACACATACAAGGAATATAAGCATACTTTGACTGATCAGAGAGCAGTTGCTTAGGACAGACAGAATTAAATAATTGTGCACTCATTCACTGAAGTCATCAGTTTCACAAGCAGTAAGCATTGCATGCATCTGTTCAGTCTAAATGTAAACCAGCCACATGGCTGTAAACTTTAGCCAAGAAAAGAAGTTACTATGACTCTCTCCCGTCTTGCTATTTCCTAATCTCGTTTCTCATCAGCTTGTCTGAAGTTATTTGAGTTTCCACATGCAAGAGTTACACCACCACTTATTCCTTAAAGGCTTCAGAAGGCAGGGAAGGAGGTAGAGACACAGAAGGAGAAAGAAACATTCTTCAGAGGCAAGTTCTTAAACAGAACCAGTAAGTACTGGCCACAGTCATGGTTTAAGCACTATTTAATCCTTGTTACCCCCATAAATCCCACTTCCTTACCAGGGTGGGGCAAGAGAGACTAACTGATAAGATGTTATTTATGTCTCAAAGAACACTGTCATACTGCAGACAGATCTGCCACAGTCACCCTTGATCAAAGTAAAGCAAAACAGTATTTCCCTCTATTAATTTCTTTGCTTTTTCACTGCAGCTGTTTTATGAAACTATAGAAAATTTGACTTAAGCACAAAAAAATCTAAAGGAAGAGCAAGTTTTAAGAAGTATACAGCAAAAACTAGTTACAATTTAAATGAATATGAATGGCAGTTTGGACATTTTACACCCATAAATGTGAACCAAAGAATTCAGAGAAAAGCGATGAAGTAAAAAGAAGAAAAATGCTCACAAGGTACAAAGTAAATTTGTGGAACACGACTTCCTATAAACACAATAAAGTCTTGATCATCATCTCTAGTTTGTACATGTGTTTGGATTAGTATTTATACACTTGCTTGGAAAATAATGCAGAAACATCATTCAGGGTCATCTCAGAGGAACTTAAATATTATTGTAAATACTTCTAGAACACAGTAATAGCAGCCATGATCTCCCTAACTGTTGGCCTGAGGAACACCCATATATAATTAGCTACACCCTGGCATGCAGCTTTCAAGTCATTGACTTAGAATTATGCTATAGTTCTCTTGTACTTGTGTCAATACAAGGAGATGACAGATTACTGAAAGATAAATCCTTTTATTTAGAGCAATCAAATTTTAATCTATTTGTCCAACCAAACTACACTGTGCTAATAAACATGTACATCAATCATCACATCAAAAGGAATCTGTAGCAAGAAGGAAGAGATGCCATCCTTGTATATGTGGCACTGCAAAAACATCACCACTCCCACCTATTAGTGCAGGTTTACTATGTACAAACCTACTGGGGAGGAGGCAGCTTGCACATACATTTCACAGCCTTGGTCAACTCATCATGTCTGGAAACAGCTCTATCCTGAGCTATCCTCTGGGATACCAGTCGAGTGAACGCCCAGGTCCATATCTTGTATTATTTGTAATAGTAAAATGCGAGCAGAATTAGTAAAACCACATAAGACAACTTCACTTCAAAACACAGTGATAACCTCCGCAGATTATTCTGGATTTCACATATTTTATTGCAAGTGCGTGACAAGTACCCATTTTGGCCAGAACTTGCAGGTTTATGCTTGCCTTCTTTTTAACATTTAAACGCACATACACGTCAATCTATTGGAATACTCAGGAGTAGGCACCTTCCACAAATATACTGCATGAAAGGATGCAGCAGATACAATCATCTTACTTTAGTCTCTGTTTTGCTTAAAGTGCTGATGAACCCTGATTTCCCATGGCTGGGTCTCTTCACGAGGATATCAGTATCCCTTCCTTCCTCTGAATCTTGCCCTGGTATCCAACTGAAAAATTGAAGTCAATATGTTAAAACCAGACATGTTGCAAAAGGAATATTTTAGAGTGCTTGTGCTACTTTGGCACTTTTTAACGTCAGCAGAAAGCAGACAACAAAGCAGAAGTCACCATAAAGAAAATTAGTGATGTAGCCAACAAGTCATAGGGTTCTTCCAGCGAAGCAGATGTTGTATTATCTTAAATCTCACACAAAATTAAAATTATGGGATAAGCATCCTGTGCATTCTGAAATAAACAGTGTAACAACACAAATGGCAGAACAGCATAGCAGGATGGCAAAGAGGACACGAAAACAAGGTAGTGTAAATCTACGTAGATCCATTTTTCCAAACTTAATTGACAAGTTGAAGGAGGAAAATACAGACTGGGTTGAATTGGGAGTCACTGCAAATGTCAGTGAGGACAGTGATAACTTAAATACAAGTGTCAGGGGGGGTGGAATAAATCAGTAAAAACTGAAATAATACTCAAGCTTGTAAAATTTGCAAGTTTCTTCTTGGCAGTTACAAAAAAGCATTTAATGGAAGGAAAAAAATGGCAGTAAAGCTAAAATAACAGCTACTGTGCAGGACTTACTGAAACCAAATTGCAAGTTCTTTGCCAATGCAGCAGAAAATCATACCTTGATCTTGGGAGAATTCTTCTGAATTTAGATAGCCAGTCTTGAAGATGGCAGTTACAGATTGCAATTCAGCCATATTCAGATATTAGATCAAGGACCTATCTTTTACCTCCCTTAACTAACCCTCTTTCAGGAGTCAGAACTGCAGCAAAATTTGTAAAGAGCTAAACTGCAAAATGGTACAGCTTGTCCAATAATCAAGCAGCTTCCCCTTTAAAGCTTGTTCCTACTTTAATATCTAAAGTGTACTAAAGCTTACTCCTCTGATGAGAGATTATATTTCCTTACAAAGAAAACAGCATCTAGGAAAAATCCCTAATGATTTTAGCACATTGTAAATTATATTTGCATTTAGCATCTAACTTCTTTTTAAATACTCTTTAAGCCTCACTGTTATACCAAGTAGGAAATCTGGCAGAGCACACTTATTGAAATATACAAAGTTAACAGGACAAGAAAAATGCCATTCTTCAGCCTTAGAAATTGGAGCAGTTAAATACAATCATATAAGAACCCAGCCTACTCCCGCATGAAACATAGTTTTATGAGGCTCCCTTAACAATCTACAGATACAGGCCCATCATCTGGAGGTACCTGTATTGCTACTTCAGCGTCAGATAGATATTTCAAGGATTAAATACACAGCACTTTTTCCTGTCCACAGAAATAATCATTTGTCACTAAGGATTAATACAGTTCATATAGGAGAAGTACAAAAAGCTTCTATGACTTAAGCAAAAATACAGAAGGGAAGAAAAATTTTAGGCATGGTTTCAGCTGCATATTTTTCATTATGTATCATATCTACTAAAAATGAAAACGAGTCCTGTCCTACTCATGGTCAGAAAGTTTTAATACCATCTTGGATACAGCTTATCTGTTTCTAAGTGTTGTAGAAACACAAGCAAGATGTTTCTAGACAAGGCGCTCCTACCAAAATCAAGGAAACTTTATCTAATTACATTTTTTCAACTTGCTTCCATACTTGATAGCTCACTATATAGAAAAAACAATGCTCTTTATCATGAATTCAAGCCCTTCAAGAAAATTAAGGGACATAAAAGCCTTCTTCAACAGTGGAAATCTCTTTC